TAAAAACGTCTGAATGAGAAATGGACTGAAGGGACTCGACGAGTTGCATGGTCAACTCGACGAGTCCGATGAATATTGGCCATTGTTGGTTTCTGCATGGACTCGGCTAGTCAGTGAGACGACTCGATGAGTTAGTTAGGGTTTTCCCAACTTTTGGACACGCAGGGACTCGACGAGTCGTCTGGAAACTCGGTGAGTCAACTAGGGTTTTCACGACTTCTCGAGTTCTGGAAGGACTCGATGAGTCAGTAAGCTGCACTCGACGAGTTGGGTCAACATGGACTGTTGACCTTGACCGTTGACTTTGACTTGGACCAAGGGTTGACCAGTTTGACTTTTGGGGGTATTTTAGTAAATTGGGAATTTATGGAAGTGGTCATGTGGTGAATATAGGTGGTGGAGTTCGTGGTTGTGATCCGAGAGTTTGATCTTATCACTACAGTTCGACATTTGTAAGGTGAGTTCTCTTCACTATACTAAGGGGTCTAAGGCACCAAGGGTGGCCCATTGGATTTGATATCCTAGTAGTTGTTGATATGTTGAGTATGAGTTAGATATGCATGCTAGTTTTGATATGCTAGTCTGGTAGGTTGGTGGGACTACCTGTGATATTATCTAATTATCTGTATGCACATTTATCTATTATATGTCGACATGTTATGTGGGTAGGGTTGACATTACACTGCTCCGTGCGGTGACCAACAAACCCTGGAGTATGCCAGATATGAGCTGAGGGCCAGGAAGAGCATGCCAGACTCATACTGAGGACTCCTAAGCATTCTAGATGCGAGTTGAGGGCCAGGAGAGCATGTCAGACTCGCACTGAGGGCTAATCACTTCGTTACAGTCCAAGGATTGAGGGAGCAAGCCAGATATGAGTTGTGGGCCTGTAAGGCAAGCTAGACTCATACTGTGGGCTCAGGGGTAATCCAGTCTGTAGAGTTATGGACCCATTACATGCTGTTATTATGTGTACTATTTGTTGTGTATTGGTATTTTGGGGGAAACTCACTAAGATTCGGGTTTACAGTTATAGTTTTGGTTTCAGGTACTTCGGATGATCGCGGGAAGGCGAAGGCGTGATCGTATAGCTCCTCATATTTTATGATTTTGATTTATGGGATACTCTGACATTAAACTATTTACAATAACACTTGACTATCCTAGGTAGTCTAGTGAATTACATTGCTAGTATGAACTTATAACACATGGACGTAGATAAAACGGGATACCATATTTATCAAATCTCTAAACATTGGTTGCCTTATATGACTTACACTAGCCAAGGACACCCCTAGCTGTGTAGTCAAACAATTGCTCAAACGATTTTTCAGGTTGGGTGATTCCTCCTAATAATCATCGCTTTAGGATCTGTGAGGATCGCTTGGGTTGGGTAGTTGGTCTTAGGTCAAATTTTATATAAATTATCTGATAATGTTGTTTGCAGGAATGATATTAATTATTATCATTAAGTTGTTATGGGCTTGAAAACCCTACATATCTCACCAGGTTTTCCCAAACCTGACCCACTCATTTTTATGCATCACAGGTTGTGGAACCAAGGCTGCCGCAGTCTAGTTATGATGCTAAGTGGAATACAAAGATGTTTCTGTAATAAGTAGTTTCAGGACCTTTTAGTATTTACGATGTAACGTATGTTTGAATATGAACGAATGACACCCTCAAGGTTTAATAAAATAATTTTCGTTATTTTAAATTTTTTTATTTAACTGGGAAATTCCGCATCTCAGTTTATAAAGCGTAATGAAAAAATGTTTTAATTGCATCTGAAAAATAAGGGATGTCATAAAAACACCTTGGAAACAAAACACAAACACCACCAAAAAAAACATGCCTTCCCATACATGCTGTAAAACATAAAACTACTAGAGAAAAACTCCATCATTGTGCCACATAGCAAACACAAGCAACAATTACAAATGTATTTCATTCAGACATATTATCAAACAGAAAGTTTTTCAAAATAACAAGTTTGTAATGGAAATCAGATGACAAAGAGAATGAGGAACGAAACAACTACATATGTGCTACTACGATTGAAATCGATTCAGATGACTTCGTTGCATATACCGGTGTAATCGATTCAACCATGTTTGCATCTAATTTATGAAGAAGAAGAAGAAACACAGAAGAAAATACTTATCGTCGGAGTTGCAGAGGGTGGAGGCCGACGCAGGTGGACGAGTAGCAGAGGAAGTCACTGACGAGGGGTGGAGGACAAAGTGTGGCAAGGAAATGACGATGGTGCTCGTCTCCCTTGAACGACAGAGCACTGATGGAGGCGTAAGAAGGGTTAGAAAAGGAAATAAAGGTTTTAGCCTTCGGTCAACATCTTTTTTGGAAGGACTGGGTAAGAGGCATTAGGACCGAGTAACAAAGTAAGAGTGTCGATATCAATAACTTTTACTGAACAGAGTAAGAGGTAACCTGTTACTCGAACCAATAAAAAATAAATCAAATAGACCCTAAATGAGTTAAAAAAAATCGTTTAAGTTTCATAGTTTCCGAAGTCCTTTTCTTGAAGCTCTTTCCATGTCAAGTTAATGTTCGATCAGTTTTGTTTCCTCTATTTCCAATACACCAAACTCCTTTTACAAAGTCCAAGAACTATTCTTTTGAAGTTTAGGGGGTGTTTGGCTTAACTTTTGAGAGGCGAAAAGTCTTTTTAGGAAAAGTTGCAAAAAGTCAGGTTTTTCTGACTTTTTCAAAAAGTTCATTTTCCTTATATCCAAAATCCAAAAGTAGCTTTTAAAAGTGATTTTACAAAACATCTTTTACCTTTTATCTTTTCCTAAAAGCTAAAAAATATTTTAAAAGCTAAGTCAAACACCCCCTTTAAACTTGTGTGATGAAAAATAGCCAAGGGACCATTTTTGTAAATTATTTGTCCAAAATTTGAAGCAGCTAAAGACCCAAATCTCTGTTTCAAAAACCCTAACAAAAGAGTTTCATAAAACTTCGATCTCGTTATAAACCTTTAGAACCTAATTGCTGACTTCCATTACTACGAAAAATCTTCAATTGAAGTAAAGAAAGCTCTATCAATTTCATTCAAAAACCTTTCCTACATATATATACATATAATCCTTTCATACATAAACTCATTATATATATCCTCTATTGGCTCTGGTGATCATCATTTCGAAAACCTTTAAAGTTTCTGTGTTCTAGTTGTATTTTGGGGATATGTCGAATTCGAGTCGGAGTAGGCTACGGAAGGACAGATTTTACAGCCCGCCTGCGATGAGAAGGTACAATCAGCAACAGCAACAACAACAGCAGCGGCAGCAGGAACAGCAAGCAGAACACCCAAAACATCAAGCAAAGAAGGAGAAATCGGAGTATTCGGTGAGTCGGGGTAGTAGTAGTACTCTACCGATGACTAATTTGGACCGATTCATGAAGCATACCACACCAATTGTTACTGCCCAGCATTTCCCTAAGGTAATTGTAAGCATCCGAATCACTAAATCGCCATTTCTTGTACCATTTCTTGATGCTATACTATACGCGTAAATAGTAATCAACCAAATGTGCATTTTCCGTAATGGAATTACGTTTTTGTTTTCACTTTTTGTGAATCTGTGTAAACCCTTTTCAAATTCAAAAAGTTCATTGTTCTTGGTGTCCTTTCTAAAACTGTGAATTAAGACATATGAAATTCTTACTTGTTTTCTACGCTATTGATTAGGGAAAAAGATTGAAAGAGTATTATATCTTTCTAGCGATCATTTTCTATTCTTTTGGTGTTGATTTATGGTGATTTTGAGATATGTAGAGCAGCATGAAGGGATGGAGGAATGATGAAGACGATTATCACCCATACTTTTTGCTTGGTGATCTTTGGGAATCTTTTAAGGAATGGAGTGCATATGGAGTTGGAGTTCCTCTTGCGTTAAATGAACGAGACTCTGTTGTTCAATACTATGCACCATCTTTATCAGCCATTCAACTGTATGTTGATCCTGCATCATCTACAACCACCATAAGGTACATCAATGGCAATGTGCTTTCACTTTATTTCTAATTTAGTTTTTTATTTTTGACATTTTTTTGTTTTGTTTAATATTTACAGACGACCAGGGGAGGATAGTGACTGTGAGTCATCTAGAACAACTAGCAGTGATGAGAGCTATGAAGCGGCTGCCCGAGGACCCCGGGCAGCTGAAAATGTTGATTCTGCTGCCCGGAGTTTGAATAAACTCATGCTTAGAGATGATTTGTTTGAATACTTTGAACGTGCATCACCCTTTCAACGTGCTCCTTTGGCAACCAAGGCAAGTCTTTCAACCATGCAAAATTGAAATTACCAATTTGCCCTTATTTTACATATAGAGTGATGGCATTTGATGAGGCGTTGATCGTTGTTTCTTTTTGACTTAATATAGAAAGTCAAGGAAAGAAACTTTTTTTTGACAAATTTACCCCCTCTTATGTTTTCCTTCTAAAGCATGCCTTCCTTTTTCAGATCTTTTTACACATCATTTATTCAGATAGATTTATGGAAATTTTTTGTGTTAAGATTACCAATTTTCCTTTAATTGTCAAAATGACAATTTTTTTTATTCCTTTTACGTTACAAAATAGTGAAATACTACACAATTTTAGGGTATGCATGTGGGAATAAATTGATGATATTGTGTTTGGATACATAACTTATTTATTTATTTTTCTAATTTGAGAAATATTTTAATATGTGCAACCATGTAGGTACTCCCTTGATTAGGGCTATATATAGATATTCATAGATCTGCATATATGTTCACATTTATATTTGGTTAAATGTATATTTATCATCATTTACTTACATAAAAAATATAAACTATCTGTTTTTTTTTTTTTTTTTTTTCATATATTGATATGTAATTAACAGTATATTCGTTTGTTAAATGTTAATTAACATGTAAATGCGTATAGGATTAAAATGTGCATTTTATGCAACAACATTTCATTTATGACCAAAAAAATATGCAATAAGATGGTTGACTTTTTGTTGACTTACAAAATGTTTTGGGTTTGGTTTACAGATATCAGATCTTGAATCCATATTTCCAGAACTGAATACATACAGGAGCTGTGATCTGACTCAGTCAAGTTGGCTTTCTGTCGCTTGGTAAAATTCTATTGTTATTTTTTTTATTCGATTTACTATTATAATAAATCGATAAATTAATGAAAGTTTCTTTTTTTTCATACTTTTTAATCTGACATTCAGCTACAAGATTTTCCAACACAAACCAAATTATAAATAACGTTTTTTATTTATTTTTTTTATATTGCAATCTAACTTATTTTTTTAATATGTAATTTTCATGTCATATAGATGACGTGTTTTTTTAGAGTTATATAATTCATTAATTTGAATTTTATTTTGTAGGTATCCAATATATAGAATACCCGTTGGTCCATCTCTCCAAAATGTGGATACAAGTTTCTTGACTTACCATTCCTTGTCAACGCCATTAAAAAGTAAAATTCCTCTTTTACCCTCTCTATCGTTTCTGCAAAAGACGTAAATGCCCTCTTTTACCTCATTTTGAAAATAACCCTAGAATGCAGTCTACCTAATTATATTACATCAACAGTGGTGATAAAAGTAAAAAAATAATAAAAAAAAACAAATAATTTAAAGTATTAAATAGTGGAAGACTATGTAAATGCTTGTTCATTGTTTTGATTTTTGATGGAAACTGTGAACGCATGTTTATTATTTTAATTTAAATTATCTAATCGATTAAACTTATAGATAATAAAAAAAATGACCAACAATTTCATAATATGCATGCCTTGCGAATTGAAATTTTGATTTTTAAATGGTTCTCGTGACAAAAAAAACCTTTAAGAAAACTACCATATTTAGTGAATTATACAAAAAAAAAAAACAAAGTTTTACTTTTTTAAAGTATTTTTATACCATTTTGGTCATTTTTATGATTATCCCTTAAACTTTTTATAAAATTGGTGGTCATTGTCACATTTTGTTATAAGCGTAAAAATAAAATGATGGTCAATGTTAAATGGATAAATACCATTTTGGGCATATTTATAATTATCTCTTAAACTTTTATATAAGATGATGTCACTTTGGTTATTCAGTTTGGTTTTTATATAAAAAGAAACTTTTTTATATAAAAACCAAGCAAAAAAAAAGACCCTAAATTTTCGTTTTTTTTTTTAAAAAAAAATTTGGTTTCGGTTTTTTCACACCATTATGTTGAAATGCTGTGGTTGACCATTCAGGTACAAACGGTTCATTGACAGCTAGGCAGGTTCATGAAGGCCAAATGCCATGTCAGCTTTCGTTACCGATTTTTGGGCTCTCTGTCTACAAGTTCAAGAATTCTGACTGGACCATAAATGGGGCCCATGGGACTGAAAAAATCAACTCACTCATTCACTCAACCGAGAATTGGCTCCGAAATTTGGATGTATATCACCCTGATTACGAGTTTTTTAAAAACCACTAAAAACCGTATAAATTGATTGATATGGTAAGTTTGAATGTTATACTAGATTTCTTTGTTTTTGTTAAGGTTTCGTTGAATGATGAAACTTTTTGTATTCGGTTTGCTAGAGGCTTGTACAGACTTGATTGTAACTAATGTGTTTTTTTTCTAAAGTAGAAACTAATTGAGATTTATGTTATGAGTTTTATGATTTGTATAAGTTATAAGTTTGTTAGAAGATGAAATATTGTTGTATAAAGCCAAATTTGTGGTACAATATGGTTGTATGATTAGTTTTAAAAACCATTTTGTTGGATAATTTAAGACGAAATTGAAATGTTTTTGCAGTAAATAAGTATTTAACCCGTTTTTAGTTATATACTAAGAATAGAAAGTAGGTTATAAAAAGAACAAAAGAGAAAGAACATTTATGATCAAAAAGTATAATAGTTGTAGAAATAAAAAAGCTTGATTGATGTATAATTTGTAGTGTTAGGGTACAATGATGTTCAACACAATTCTTGTACAAAGGCTAGTGTTGTAAAATAATCAACTAATAAAATGTTTAATTATTATCTATGTGAAACCTGTGTATTACACGGGTTTATTAAAAGGTCAAAAAGTAAAGGTGTGAGCAAAAAAAGGATCATTCATGTAAGTTTTGGTAACCATAAGGACCATGTTCATAAAAAAATAAGGTCAAAAAGTAAAGGTGTGAGCAAAAAAAAGGATCATTCACGCAAGTTTTGGTAATCATAAGGACCATGTTCATAAAAAAAAATAACAATTGAGTTTGTGACATTTGGCAAATCGTATGGACCATTTATGTAATTTGATCTTAATTAATTTATATATTAATAAATTAATTAATATGAATTCACAAATGGAAGTTATTATCTACATTAATATACATATATATTAATTAATATATTAATAAAAAGATGAATTCACAAATAGAAAGTTATTATGTACATTAATTGATATATTAATAAAATTAATTAATATGAGATGACATTTAATAAGTGAAATTTGAATAAAAAAGATAAAAACTATAAAAATGACAAGTGGATATTAAATAATTCAAAAAATCTAGAAAATGACAAGTGTCAAAATAAAGAATATGACATGTGGCAAAATCATTCTTATTTATTAGGGTAGATATTAAGTAGTGTTAGTGGGTGTTTACCAAGGTATTGAAAACCGGACCGGAAATTGAATTGTCATTTTACCGGTTCGATGATTCAACTGGTCCAATTGGTCAGACCAGTCTCAAAAACCGAAAAAATTGGATGATGTCATAATTACATTATTAATAATTTTAATTATATAAAAATACAAAAAATAAAAAATATTATTTTTTAAAATTCCCGGTTTTACCGGTTCAACCGAACCAGTTTTTTCCGGTTCACATGACGAACGGTGTTTTGGCCTCTAAGAACCGAATCCGGGACTGGTTCCCGGTTGAACCGGCCGGTCCGGTCTGGTTTTTAAAACATAGGTGTTGACACCATGTTTTGTCCCATTCCACTTTTTTAAATAATATTTTTTACTTTTTTGCTTTGTAAAATGATATTTTATTTTTTTTATTTTTTTTAATGTCATTTTTACATTTTCTATTTTAAAATTTATAAAATATCACTTTCACTCCTTTCATTTTTTAAACTTTCAAGTTTTCCCTGGTAGCCGAGTCACTTTGCAATTATCCACCCCTCTTCTTTTTAAAATATCATTTTGACTCATTTATTTTGAACTTTGTAAATGTCACTTGCACCACCTTCATTTTCTAAATTTTCGTTTTTATCTTGTGGTCAATGTTTCGACGTAATTTTCTTTTTACATTTTTGTGCTTATTTTTATGTATGTTGCTACATATGAGTCGGCTCACATATAATACGTTTTTTATTATTTGAACTTCTGCTCGTTAACTTAATAAAAAATCTTACTTGTTTTTATATACATGTCGGTATAGTCTCAATTCCTTTACGTTTCATGCTTATTTTTATGTACGTTTCCGACGTGAATTTGGTCACTTATACTACGTTTTCATTCAATGGTATATATTAGAGTTAGTCAATACTACTATTACTACAGACATTGTATATTTATCTACCAACAAATATAACAGTACCTAATTTTTATCAAGATAATCGTCAAAGTTCAACTTACAAAACGGATTTGTGCCCCATAACACGTGGCAGGCAAAATCGTAGTTTAGTTTCGTTTTAGAAAGTTTTTAACATGTTAATGCTTACATGGATATTAATAAGTTGAACTTACATCAATTGAAGAATTTATATTTTATAATTACGTGGATATTAATATTGTTAATAACTAACTTAAGATATCTACTTCAATACCATAAAAAAAAAAAATTCTGGAGACAGAGAAGGACATTCTCGTCTTTTGCAAAGTTAAAAAATCAAGAGTGAGTTCCTGACCAATCTTTTTTATTAGGACAAAAAATTTGAGTTATTATCCAATTGATCAGTCAAATACATATGTCAACCACACAGTACAACATGTTATATCATGGTCATGTCATGTTCAACTGAAATAGAAAAGTTTGCACATAACGATTTAAAGCATATTTATATAACCTATATCTAAATTCTAAAATACATTACAAGGCTTTAACTTTTAAGAATTCGTCTGTTTTTTCCTAAAATACCCCTGATAACTTACTTATAAACCATCATCAAGGAAAGTAGAAAACAGTAGACCTTGAACAAACTCACTTCGCCTAGCCTTCTCCTCTTGATCCTTGTCCGAAAGTGGGGCCCGCTGCTGTTTACTCCTAAAACAATCACAAGTTTGTATATTACAACAACAAAAAAAAGTGTTTCTTTGTTAAATGAGTAAATTGCACGAATGGTCCCTATGGTTTAGGGTAATTTACATGTTTGGTCCCTAACTTATTTTTTTAACTCGAAAGGTCCTTACTGTTTGTTTTTGTTACGCGTTTGGTCCCTATCTTACTTAAAAAAACTATTTTGCTCTTGATTTTTTAATTTATTTAAATAAACACACCCCTAACCCCACCCCTCACCTTACCTTACATACCCCACCATTTTTTCATATTTAAATAATAGTCTTTTTCGGTAAGACAGGGACCAAACACGTAACAAAAACAAACAGTAGGGACTTTTCGAGTTAAAAGAATAAGTTAGGCACCAAACGCGCAGATTACCCCAAACCATAGGGACCATTTGTGTAATTTACTCTTGTTAATTGTACTTTATGTATTAAAAGTAGGATATGCTATAATAGGTGATACCTTCGCGACAAATCCTTGTGGGGGTTTTCCGCCATTGACTTTGCTGACGTGGCGGCATGAGGTTGAGCGGTTGGTGGTGGTGGTGGTGGTGGTTCAACATCAAGTAATGATGGTGTGTTGGAGATGAAAGAAGATAACCATTGTTCAGGCTCAGATGATGATGATGATGACTGAAGTCCAAAAAGAGAGTGAAGATTTCCTACCCGAAATTCTTTCTTTAAAATCGAAAGGGTTGAGTTGGTGTTAGTGTGGGTGTGAGTCCCACCTCTACGAAGCCTTCTCTTGCGTTGAACGTAATCTCTAGTTATGGAATAGCAATGTATTTTCTACATATTTACAAAATTAACCCTCAATGATATTATAGAACTACTCACAAGTCACGAGTATCGATTGTGGTTAAAAAGTAAAGAGATATGAAATGAATTCGATAAAAAAAAAAGGATATCTTTAGAAGGCTCCCATGTTGCATTGTCATATGACTAACTAAATCCATACCAACCCTTTTAGCACACACTGGGCATATCTGCATTTACAGTATTAAAAATAAAATTTATTAGTGCAAATATTCCATTGAAATAAAACAATATACCATTTATGATTGCAAATAACACCTAATAAAGAGTTTTTTTTTTTTGAAAGAAAAAGTGATACCCCATTCTTTGCTTCAAGCGTATGCTCTTCATCTATATGACAACAAAGACCAACAATGTCGAAATCCTCTGCACAAAATGGGCACAAAAACTCTTGCCTTGGCTCCTCATCACCCTCAAATTCATCCACAAGATGAAATGTTTCTGTAAAAAAAATAGCAATGTACTTTCATTTATTTGTGTATTATACTTTCAATGTTTTTAAAAAGAAACTGTTAAAATGTTTCAGAGTATATTTTTACAAAGTAGCTTCTAAAAACACTGAAAGTTGCTTTATTATTTTATCATCATCATCATCATCTATAGATGTTAGGTTTATTTATTTATTATACTCAGTAGAAATCCAATGAGAGTATTACTGAAATATAATATGTTTCAGCAAATTTTTCTTTAAATTCATTAACATGTTCCATAAAGTAGACTTTTTGGTAAAGTTCTGAAAACGAATATGCGAAAAGAATAATAGCTCACTGAAGTATGATTTTTTTTTTGATTCAATATATTATGCAAATACATCGGTTAATTTGTTTCCATGTTCATATTGAAAAATACCAATTGTAACTCAAAAGCTTCAATAATGTTAACTAAGTACAAATTAACTCAAAATTCCAACGACTCAAAAGCGTATTCCTGAAATTCAATCTGTTTTTTCAAATAATTTCAAGGAAAACAGAGGACGATTGGAAAACGCGACGAACCTGAGCGAGATTGGTAACTGCCGCGTCTTGAAGAAGAATTAGATGTAGAGAGACGAGTCCATGAATCTGAGTCCATTTTTTCTCGATCTTAGAAAATAAATCTCGAAATAAGCAACAATGACAAGAAATTCTTCAAAAGATTATGAGCAGCCGTGTATTGATTGAGCTTTTTATGGTCTGGATGTTGTATAGGTTTTCTCAGATTGCGAAAGTGAGGTAATTTCGAAGAAAGAGGAGAGAGAAAGACTCCAGAGGAACTCTCCACCAAACTCCCCAGCTAATGGTGTACATATGTCTATGTTATGCTATTACCCCTCTATGTATATAGATATTTCATAATTGGTCCTCGATATTATTCATTTTATGGTGTTCATTGGAGGTCAACTCTTCAACCCAATATAAGGTATTTACTAGACAAAACTGTAAAAATGTTATTAAATGTCACAAATTCAGTTTTTGTTAAAAAAATTTAACGAACATGGTCCATATGTTTCCAAAACTTGCATGAATGATATTTTTGCTTACGTCGTTACGGTTCATCTGTTAGTGTAACGATATTTTGGTATTTTCAAGTAGTGGGACTGAGTTTGTGACTATGGGTAAACCATAGAGACCATTTATGTAAATTTTTATATATTTTGGCGTGTTCGGCAAAACTAGCTGGTAACGGGTATTAAGAATCAAAGAATAGGAACTTATAGAGTTAGTTAATAGATTTTACCTGAAGTAGAGTCATATGTCTTGACTCTCCCATCTCTTAGATCTCTCAGGTAAACAGGGCAGCTTGATCTCCAATGCCCCTTCTCT